CGCTATGCAGCTTGAGACATTGTAGGGTTTCTGCAGTGCTTGGTTTGAGAATGAGCGGACTGGGCTGGACAGTGAGGCCATGCAGGCATGGCAGCACGCTCACTCCCCCAACGGGCACAAATCGTCAGCTCCCGTGCAGGTCAGAGGACCAGCCCAGGGCCCCCCACCCCCCTCACAGCAAGAAGTCAGTCACACACCTTGGCTCTTGCCCAGTGTCATGATGCCGCGGGTGGGGTGGAACCGGAGGCCCACCTCTCGAGCTGCCCGGATGGTGTCATCCAGCATGACATCCTGGATTGGGTTGCAGGGTGGGGGATGATGGGGGCTGGATGGATGGAGGTGCGAGCTGTGGAGCGCAGTCCGTGCACAGTTCTTCGCCGTGCACCCAGAGGGAGAGCATTGTTTCCCCCCTCCCCCACCATGCACTCACGTTGGGGTAGATGTACAGATGGTCTGAGCTGGTGGTGCAGCCGCTCAGGAGCAGCTCCACCATGGCGAGCTTGGCAGAGACGTACACATCCTCGCCCTGGTGATATGAGCACGCGGTGTGGCACATGGAGCGAGGAGTTCTGGTGGCGTCTGGCATCATTGGGGCAGGGCATGTCCACACGTACCGTCATGGTGCTCCAAGCTGGGTAGAGGCTGGTGAGCCACCCAAACAGGGCAGAGTCCTGCTCCGTGGGTGGGGGGGGGTGGTGCTGGGTGGTGGGCGGGCCATGGCTGCGGCGCGTGGCCAGGCATGCACTGCCCTTATTGATCCCCAGGGCAACATCGTCAGACATGCTGCCTCCGGGACGGTGACGGACCTGAGCGACGCAGCGGGTCAATGTCTGGTACATGTGATGGTGGGTGTTGACCAGGCCGGGAATGACCACCTGGTCCGCCAGGCTCACAACCCTGGTGGCCTCCAGCCGGAGCTCGGGGGGGCAGTCGGTCTCCGGCCCCACCCACTCGATGAGGTTGCCCCGCACAACAATGCAGGCACCCCGGATGTCCCCGATGGATTCCTCCAGGGTCCCTAGGTAGAAGATGTCGGTGTAGAGCACCAGCTCCGTCGGAACAGGGCGGGGGTTGCCTCCCCCGGGCGACATTGCGCTGGGCAACCAGGCTGACCTGGACCTCCGTAGCACGATGAGCAAGCTTTCACCGAGTCATGTTCTGGGCTTGGACCCACATGCCATGTGGTGGGCCAGCACATTGGCCCCGCATCGAGATGGCCCCGCACGTGCCGGGCTGTGCAGGGTTTCGCAAAAGCCAAACCCTAGCCCTTGTTCGGATTGCGGGGTTTCCAATTCTTAACTCGTTCACCCGAAGTTTCCGACTGACGTCAGGGCCCCTGCTCTCAGCCCATCAGGGTACAAATGCAGCAAGCATGCTGCTGTGGGGCCAGGTGGTTTCCATGAAGTTTACTCCTTGCTTGATTCACAAGCATCCTCAGGTCTTGTACCAGGCTGACTCCACTCGCCGTTTATCTGCAAACTATTACTGTCCCTCCTTCCCTCTAGATTCTTGAGGCTACTGGAGACATCCTCCTCAGCCATCAGGTCAACCTCAGTACAGCTTTGCGCCCGATTTAAGGCCTGCCCATCGTTGCATTTGATGAGGACCTTGCCCTTGTGTAATACATCATCCAAAACCCCCGAGCATATGGTGATGTGAGGTATCATAAATCGCTGGTTCCCATCCTTGTTACGTTTGTACGTGACAGCTGCCATGGCTGACGCGAGTTGAGGAGTTGAGGGGTCCAGAGCGGTCATGCCAAAGGGATGTATTCCGCATGGGGAGGAGAGATGACAGCACGTCCGCCAGGCTCTGGGGACTCAATGGTTTGATACCCTTTGAAACGGAACCTGAAAAGATTGCATTTCGTCATACCCTCAATGGTATACAACAGTGTATGTCTGGACCGGCGAGGGTCCTCCGGATTACCGCCACGGACACTCCATAGCCATACAGCTCCCACTCCGGTAACACAGACTGAAACGAAAATGCCGATACACGGAGCCAGGATCCCTGATATGCAAGATTTTAGAACTCGAGAGTGACGCAAGACTCTGAGCGTACAGTCGAGCAAAGGCTTCACTATACTCCATACGCAGGCGAACCCCGCCGGCGGTTTAGTGAGACTGCCGCAAGGTGGAGGATGGCTCCGGCGGCCAAGAGCCTCGCTTTCCTGAGTGGGATGCTGCTGCTGCTGGCCAGATGGGTCTTCGCGGTGAGCGTGGGTACACTCGAATCGATGCCGACCCCGCGTCAGCTGCAACTACTTGCCCCCGATTCACTCGCCCCACATCCTTTCCTTCCTGAGAGCAGGCCACCTGAAGCTCCACATTCGTCCCGCTACCCAGGGTCATGTGAGCCGAGTGCTGTGCTTATCGGGAAGGAATCCGTACGGATCTAGCGACGGCTCCGTCCGACCCCTCTCCAGCACGTGATGCCGGTGGACAGACGTCCGACCCATTTTCTGTGGGACCCCGCAAAATTGCTCCCCTCGTCAGGCATGCAAATATGTGCATCTATATCGGATTGTTGATAAACGGCCGTACCTGGTCATATCTCCATGGTTCTGCACACACTCGACTCCTCGCAGCCTTGGACCCCGCGTGCATTTCGTGAGCGAGGACAGCGCAGATGCCGTTTGCAAGTGAGTAACGCTCGTGAGGTTGTGCACCAAGCCAAGTGTTCGCAGATCAATGCGCCAGCCCAGAGTAAGCACCATGTTGCAGACCTGATAGCTCATGAAAAATCTGACTGGCACATACCAACCCAGATCCCCATGGCATGCAGGCATGAGGGCTTCAGCAAGGCGGGGACCGTCCGCACCACCACCCTTCACATCATGGGGCTGTCGATGTCGGCCGTGCGGGTGAGCACCCTGGAGATCCTGACACCCAGTTCCACGAAGATGATTGTGAATGTGGAGTGCCTCAAAGAGGGCCAGAAGCCTTGCACGGCGGACAGTGACGGCAACATCGGCTCCGGCAACAAGGGCAAGAACAACCTTGGCACGAAGAACGTTGGGAACTACAACATTGGTGAGCAAGGACTGGAGTGTAAACTCACTTTCAAGATGGGCACAGCCGCTGCAACTCTTGGTGAAACAGGCTCACATGGAAACCCGAGCTGCCTATTGCAGGTAACTCCAATGTGGGCACTGCCAACTGGGGAGACAACAATTCCGGCATGAGCAATCCTTGCTTCAATAAGACTAGGCATTGCATAATTGTGAGCGACTGCAGCCTGCTCGTATTCCGCAAGCGTGCATGGGTGCTTGGCTTTCCACCGCCTCCCGCCAAGAAGTCTCCACCGCCTCCCACCAAGAAATCAACACCTCCACCCGCCAAGAAGTCGCCGCCTCCACCCGCCAAGAAGTCGCCATCCCCTCCTGCCAAGACGTCTTCCCCCGCTCCCACTAAGACGTCTTTTCCCCACCCGCGAAGACATCTCCACCCCCACCCTCAAGCTCAAGCCCTCCTCCACCCTGATCCCCTCCTCCCAGCCCCACTCCTCAACCAGCCCCCCTCCTCAACCCAGCCCCCCTCCTCAACCCAGCCCCCCTCCTCAACCCAACCCACCCTGCCCATCGCCATCACCACCTCCACCAAGCCCTCCTTCTCCGCCTCCACCACCACCAACGACCGCCACAATCCAATTCGCTGGAACTGCAGATGGGTTTGTCGACGTCACGTTTGTTGTTACCACTGGGGGGGTATATTCCCGCCCAGATCACATGCACCATGTACTCAGCCCTGTTGGCTCGACTCGAATCCGTAGATCAGAACAACCCAACATCCGCCACCACTACCCTCACAAGGGGGTCCATGGATGCGGCAAATATGGATATTTAATCATTTGGCTTCGCATTTTTCTACACAGCTGGTCCTCTCCTCAAAAAAGTGGTCCCGCTGACCCTGCTCAACCCTTCACCACCCCCACCTGCATCCCTCCCACCACCACCATCATCATTGGGGTCCATGACTGGAAGCATTATCCGAGACGATTATGACTTCACATTCACGGCGGAAGCTGGGAATGTCTCTCCGAGCAGCATCAACTACATTTTCTTCACGGTCGGTGGTGCCGCGATCGATGCGACTTCCACTCCTAACAGTGGTAGCCCAACCAGTTGGGACAAGCAGCTGGACAGTGACGCAGCAGCATTAGCGTCCTATGCCCCAGTTGTGGGCGTACAGGGTGGAAGTGGGAGCTCAAATGTCCTGACCCTGAACTGGTAGAAGACTCTTACCTCATGTACTATATAACAGCAAGTTCTTCGCCTTCTGTGCCTGAATTCCATCGTCACCTATGCTTGTGAGTCGGCGTACTGATCCACCTGACCCTGCATGCATCCTAAATTGAATGCCCATCCATGTGGCCACCCTTAATCTTACTGTAAGCACACAGTGACATCCCAGCAAGACCATGAGCCTCAAGTTCCATGCCGACACTCCTAAATGCTATCTTGCTCTTGCCCGTTAAATACACTCTTGGGAATGGATGCTGTCCTAGTGAAGACCATGAGAATCCCTGCAACATGCACTGGTATAGGCGATCTGAATGAGGGCCATCACATCCAAATCTCCACATGCAGTGTGGAGACTGGATTTCACAGCAGTGGACGGGCGGCGAGAGCACTGCGTAGTGCATGGGTACAGGAGAGAAAGAGGGAACGATCCGGCCAGTGACATCCCTTCAACAAGCAGTCCTTCCTGCATGGAACCATCAAACAAGGCAGGTACTTGCGTGAGACTGGAGAAGCTTTCATCATACCATTGCAAGAGAGACACAAATTTGTTCTAAAGGAGGACCGTCTCTTCTTCCACATTTCAAACGGCCTTTACTAGTCGAATGGAACATAAGACCTCTGGTTCTGGCGGGGGTCTTCCTGTGGTGCACGATGGCAACCCCTTGGTCAGTACGAAGGTTCATTCTCGACGCAGGGGAGGGTCGAGCCCTCTGCGAAGGGCTGAGGATGCCGCCAAGGGCGAAGGAGGACTAATTTCTGACGAGAGACGGCAGAATTATCTGCCTCTGGCGCGAGGAGGATTTTTGATGGAAGGGGGCGAAGGCTTTCTTGCAGGAGGTAGCAGGCTCCTCACTGGCGGAGGTGGTGAGGATCTCCTTGTTGAAGGGGATGATGCCTTCCCTTTGGAGGGTGGAGGGGGTCTCCTGGGGGCTGAAGGAGGCTTCTTGATCGGAGGCGAGGGTGTGGACTTACGGGAAGGGGGTGGGTTTTTCTTGATGGGCGGTGGAGATGGCGGCTTGCGAGAAGGGGGTGGTGGCTTCCTGCTCGGAGGAGGTGGCGATCGCCTGGGGAAGGGTGGTGGCGGCTTCTTGGCGGAAGGTGGCGGTGATGGTTTGGGAGAGGGGGGCGGGGGTGACTTTGCGGGAGACGGCGGCGATGGCTTTGGAGAGGGGGGCGGTGATGGCTTGGGAGAGGGGGGCGGGGGTGACTTTGAGGGAGACGGCAGCGATGGCTGTGGAGAGGGGTCCGGTGATGGCTTGGGAGGGGGGGCGGTAATGGCTCTGGAGAGGGGGGAGGCATTGATGGCATGGGAGAGGGTGGCGGTGGGCTCGCAACAGGGGCCGGGGATGGGATGGCAGGTGGTGGGCTTGGCATCCCTGCAGGTGATGGTGACGGTGGTGGATGGGACACCGAGGGCGGTTCCACGGGTGGAGACACCGGTGAAGGTGGAGGGGCCCCAGGACTAGGGGGGGAGGCTGGTGCTGGGGTTGGACTGGGTGCGGCTGGAGAGGGACTGATGGCCGGCGGAGGACTTGCCGGGGCAGGCGCGGGTGTGACTGGTGAGGGGTGTGGGGCAGGGGTAGGGGCTGGAGAAGGGCTGGCAGCAGGGGAGGGTGGAGGATGAGGGTACACGATCAGAGTATCTGATGTTTTCAATGCTGCTATGCTGCACTGGGCTTCGTCTTGAGCTATCAAGTTGTTGCAGACGATGTTCGATCCCGTGTTCCCGCTCCCGATGTTGGAATCTCCTTTGTTCTGACTACCTGTATTGTGATGATGTGCTCGAGGCTCAGGCTGGGTCTGGCTGGAAAGGGGCGGAAGAAAGATGTCCCCCTGGTTCACTCACCTCTGTTGTTATTGCCTCGATTGTTGTGCCCGATGTTGTGATACCCCACGTTGCCGTTGCCCAGGTTCCCATTCTCATCTGGTACACATCTTGCCCCGCCCTCGACGAGGCACTCGACCACAGTGAGGGCTGGGCAGAAGCGTGATTTGTTTAGGGAGCAAATCTCCATCGTCTCAGGGTGGAGCGAGGCAATCTGGAACTGACTGAACGGAGCACCCGGGGCAACGTTGAGCATCTCCCAATACCCTGCTCCTGTGTACCCCTTCCACCTGCCACATGGAAGGGGGAAGGGAAAGGTGAGGCAGTAAGGAGTACAGGGCTGGAAGTGGATAAAGAAGGCGCATGCCCTTCCTCAAGATGTAGTCTTCCGCCCTCGCAACTGGGGGCACAACTGATTGGCTAGAGTCTGGGCCCCAAACCCAGTTTAAAGGCACCCACCGGCAGTAAGTGTCTAAGCCAGTGGCGGAGACGAGGTATAGGGTGCCCAGGTACCTGTTGCAATAGGGTTGTGAAGATGGTATGGTCTCTTTTTTAAGGGATGTTCACCCCAGCTATTCCGCCATTCCAGGACAGTTGCATGCTGTGCACTGCGTCGCAACATGCGAGCTGCCCGCTCACTCTATCGTGGGCAGAGCCAGGATGGGATTGCGAGAGTCGCACACATTTGGGGTGGGCGGGGATGGGGATGGGACATTGGGCGGGGAGGGAGGAGGATAAGGGTACAAGACCAGAGTGGCCACCGTTTTCAATGCCGCTATGCTGCACTGTGCTCCATCCTGAGCCACTAAGTCGTTGCACACAATGTTCGTCCCCCAGTTCCCGTTTCCGCGGTTGTAATCTCCCAGGTTCAGACTGCCTGCATGGTGAGTGCTTGCCTGGTGATCAGGTCTGGGCAGACTTGGAAGCAGGCCGGTACAGGGTGATTGCCAGATAACTCACCCCTGTTGTAGCTGCCTTGATTGCTGTGGCCGATGTTGTGAAATCCCACGTTGCCGTTGCCCAGGTTCCCATTCGCATCCTGTACGCATCTCGCCACTCCCTTGGCAAGGCACTCCACCACAGTGAGGGCTGGACAGTGGTATGCTTCAGTGGGGGTGCAGATTTCCAGCGTCTCAGGTTGGAGGGTGGCGATCTGGAACTGACTGAACGGTGCATCTGGGGTCACTATGACCGACTCCCAATATCCTGCTGCTGTGTACCCCTTCCTCCTGCCACATTATTGGGGGTGGGGGTTGGGGCTGTCTGGGAATTACTGGGGAAGGCTTGAGAAGGTACATGATGCCCCGCCCTTGTGACGGAGTGCTAGGTTACAGCAGTCAAAACCACCAACAATGTATCTGTCTCCGGCCTCAGAAAGAGCTCATTGAGGCACCCACCGGCAGTACGCGTCTGGGTCGGTTGAGGAGGCCAGGTAGAGGCTGCCCAGGTACCTGTTGCAATGGAGTTGTGGGGGTGGCACGATCTCAACAGTGAAGGGGAGAGGGTCCCCCAACACAATCGTCCCAGGACCGCTGCATACTACGCACTGTATTACCCTCCCCGAGGTACCCACTCACTCTATTGTGGGCAGAGCCAGGATGGGGTTGCGGGGATCGCACACTTGTGAAGGGGGCGGGGATGGTGGCGGGGGTGACGGGGGAGGAGGGGGTGGAGGATAGCCAGCCAAGGTGATGGTCTCAGTTGTTTTTAGGTTTGCTATCGGGCATGGAGCATCTGACGCCCAATTGTTACATACGATATTGCTGCCAATGTTGTTGCTGCCCCTGTTGTGAGAGCCAATGTTGCCGTTTCCTGCGGTGAAACAGACCAACAGACTTGATCAATCACACGTCATTCCAGGCAATGGGTAAATGAAGATGGCACTCCACTGCGACCTACCATGATTGAAGCTGCCACCATTGTTGTTTCCAAAATTAAACATCCCGTCATTGTTGTTTCCTGTGTTCCCAAAATCTGGGTCTGCCTCGCAGGTAGCAACTCCCTTGGGATAGCAGATGGCGAGCGCAACAAAGTAGCAGCCTCCATCAGGTGCGGTGGGCGTGCAGATTTCACGATCAGTTGGATTTATTGTGCTGATGGTGTAATTAGGGAATGGGTATCTCACAGACATCCCTGAGCGTAACTCGTCAACTTCACCATCAAATCCTTTTGAGCTAGGCGGGGTTGTAAGGGGAGGGGGCCGGGAGGGAGGGGTTAGAGGGTGTTAGGGTGGGAGGGGTTGAGGGTGGGAGGGGGAAGGGTGGGAGGGGGAAGGGTGGGAGGGGTAAGGGTGGGAGGGGTTGGGCGCCGGGCCCTCAGCATTCAGCAGGCCAGCACCAACCGCCGGAGTTCACCGACCACCAGAGCCCTTCTCCGCCAGCATTTGCAGAGTCCATGCGACCACGGCTCACCGGCAGTAAGCCTCAGATGTTCCAGAGCCCAGCAAGTATAGCGTGCCGAGATATCTGGGAGGGAGTGAAGGGTGAGTGGTGCGGTCAGCAAGGTCAATTCAGAGCTAAGAGTTCAGACTTGGCCCAGCATCCGATCGCTAACGTGTAGGCCATACAGTTCCATCCATAGATACATTGCAGGTACACAGGAAATCAGTGGAACCGGGCTCATGCCATGCAACCCCCTTGCTCGGAAAGCTCACTCGAGGGTGGGCAAGGCGTAGAATCCGACCCTCGGGTCGCAGTCAGCCTGCGTGGGTGTGGCGCTGTTCCTTTGCTTCAATGCCGAGAGATATATGTCAGCTAAAATTCCATGAAGCTCTGCTTCTCACGCGAGGCAAGACCTTGACGTCCCACCTGTGCCTCCCGCACGCTAGCGCCAGCGAGAAGCACGCCAAGGAGGATGACCCTCCAACATCCCATGGCTGGCAACGCACAGCAAATTAAAAAATTGTAACCCTGTACAATCCCTCCAAGGATGTGCAGACTGATGGAGGACAGCAGTTCGAGATTTACGTGGCAGGCCTCCGTGGGAACCACACCGCACTCCGGGCCGGGCCGCGCGCTCCGGTCGCCGGAAACGCCACTGGTGCATTCTCTGTTTTGAAATTCTTCATCATCGCTGACGTCGGCCAGTATGCCATTTGATAACTTATGCAAGGTCCTGGGGTCTCGTGTCGTGAACACATTAGCCCGCCCCTGGAACCCCGTCCCATGCTGCAGATGGCGATGCAGTACTAGCTTCGGTGCGTGCCCTCACATCTTCACACCAAGGGTTGGATGGAATCGCTCTTTTGCACACTCACACCCTCTTTCCCCCGGACTGTGGCTCGTTACATCCAGGTATCGGCCGCTGCGAGCTCCAGCTGCACCTGGCATGGCGCACGCCGTAGGTTCGAGCACCCCTCTCCCACCAGCGGCGCTACCCTGCCTCCACCCCGGCGCCGCGCGCCAGCAGGCACTGCAGCTCCGCCTCAACGTGCATCAGCACGGGCAGCACCCCCCTCTCCATCTGGCCTGATGCCAGCGCGGCCTGCGCCAGGGTGGCACTGAGTCCCTGCACCTGGACCTCCAGGGCCGCCCTCGCCGCGCTTTCCTCCAGCAGGCGCTGCTGCGCGTCGGAGCGGGGGGAGGCCGGACTTGCACCTGCGGACCATGCCGCGCTCTCCTCCAGCAGGTCCTTGAGCCGCGCGGCGTGCTCCAGCCCGGCCAGCGCCTGCCGCTCCCACTCCGCGGCGGTGCGCTGCGACGCCTGCAGCGCCTGTCGTGGGGCGAGAGGCGCGGTGTGTTGTCATGGGCCCAGGCCGGCGGCGCCCGCCCCGATTCCAGCCAAACTCACAGACAAGGGAGACCCGGGCCGATTTGTGCCAGGCCCCGCCCGGTTCACACAGGGCTCTGCGCAGTGGTCTCGCACCGCCCCAGTCTCTCACAGGTGCCTGTCACCTGACCAGCTCACCGCGCCAAGCCCCGACACCCCCAACGGCCCCCCACCTCGGCCAATGCGGCGTTGAGCGACTGCAGCCTCTCCACCTCCGCGGCCTGGGTGTCCAGCGCCGAGATCAGCCGGTCCCGCCCCGCCTTCAGGGCCGCCACCCGCTCCTGCAGGCCCACTATCTTGCTGGGCGCCACTGCGGCCGGGCTCTGGGCAGTGACGCGGCCTTCGGCACGTCCATCACCCTCCCCTCCACGCTGACCCTCCAGGGAGGCGAGGTCCTCCTCCAGGTCCAGAGCATGCCGCTGCTCGTTCAGGAGACGGGCCGCCAGCTCATCCCGAGCAGCCTGGAGTGTGGAATTTTGTTGCAGAGGTTGGTGGATCGAGCAGGGGCAGAATTGTGTGGGAAGAGGGGCCACCAACCGGCAGCAGCTTCGTCTTGGGGCAGGCTGGGGGCACTACATCTCGCTCTGAATAACGCATCATACTCCCGCAGGCATGATCATGACCTCCCTCTTGGCCACGATGCCCCTCCTCCCGACACCCTGAATGCACGTCTATTACCTGGAGTCGGAGCTGAGCTTGTTTGCTCGACTCGGCCTGCAGCTCCGCCTCCCGCCTAGCCCGCTGTTCCGCCGCAAGCTGCTGCCGTAGTGATTCGAGTTCGTCTGCCAGCGTGAGATCGCCCAATCTGAAGGCGCAGGCTGCACCCCTAGTGAAGGAAGGGTGCCCGCCTCGTCGCTCGATGCACGTCTAGCTTAGCTGAGAGCTGATCTAATTTCAACAACTTGCATGAGTTTATTGACATCGGTCGATTCTTTGCTGTGATGGTTGCCCATCAGCATTCCTGATTACCTGATGCATCCATTGCATCTGTCGGGGGGAGGAGCGCGGATCCAACCGGGCATTGATCAGCCGAAGCTGAGGAGATGCTGCCCCCGTGCCCGTGGTTCCGCACACTTCCCAATTTTTAAGGAGGTACTGTGCTTAAAGCAAATCCACCGTTAACAACTGATCCTGCTATCAGCATTTATTACTTCTGTGAAATATTCTGGCCTCGAGTCGGCGCATTGCTCTGTTTTAAGTACCCACCCTTTCGGTCGTACTCTCCACCCGAGGAGGGAAACACTTCGTCCATCCACCTTGAATAAAGCAACAGATAACCATGCAGCTTTCTGCCCCCCGAGCACAATTCTACCGGGGCAAGGCCTTCCAATCTGTCGCCCCAGGCCGCACCATCCCTCCTCGCGTCCGTCGCCAAGTACCCATCAAGCCCACTGCCAAGATTCCTGGGGTGGAGCAGGCGACAGCCGCCCTGAAGACTTACCGCGCGGTCTCTAACCTGCCATCTTGGGTCACGACGGTGGCATTCACCGCTTTCCAGGTGCTGCCCAAGATCACCCACAACCCTCTCCCCTTTGTGCCTGACTCCAGCCTTCTCTTCAACCTGCTGGCTTGGTACACGTTGTTGTACGCAGGGACGTCCCTCTTCAATCGCAAGGTGCCCGCAGGGGTGGGAGTGCGGGGGAGGGCATGTTCATGTGTTCATGCCAGGACGGTGTGGAAGGGCAAGAACACCCCAGATACCCGCGGATCTCCTACCCTGCCCATCTCTTCCCTCCACCCTCAGTTGGAGTTTGATGGCGTGGGCACGGTCATCGGGCCGGCCTACCTGGCAGTGCAGGCGATGGGGGGCCTGGGGTCCTTCCTCTCCCCACTCAATGTGGCCACAGCTCTCTTTGGCGTCTTCCTGTCCTACAGGCTGCCGGTGAGAACGCGTGAGCGGGCAGCTTTGCCGGCACAAGGCAGCTGAAAGCGCGTTTGCCCAGCTGTTGTTGCACACGTGGAAGGATTCTCCGTGACCTGCCGGCACGCACGCTTGCTGTTGCTTGGACATGAACTCCGGACTCATCCATGTCCCATCCTTCATTCTTTTCGTCATCACAGGGTCCCACCCTGCTCTGGCTGCCCACCCTCGCGTTTGCCATCTACTCCGGCTTCGGCTTCCACTGGGCCGTGGCGGCCTTTGCCGGGGGAGCTGGGTGGCAGCTGGTGCAGGGGCTGCGCGAGGGCAAGCTGCCCCTCCAGCAAATAGCCTTCCTGGGGGTGGCGGGCCTGGCCTTCGTCACCAACCTGGTCCCGCAGTTTGCCCTGTTTGTGTTTGGCGGGCAGATTCTGGCCTCTGCCGTGGGGAAGTGAGAGACTGGGCCTTGCCTCCGCATGCTCAGAGCTTGCCATGTCTCCCCTTGATGGTGGGATTCGGTTCCACCGCTGCACTCCACAGGAAACTGGTCTGCATGCGTTTCAGTGCCCTCTGCAAACTTTAATGATCGGGGCAGATAATGGTGCGGCTCAGGGCCTCACACAGGACCCAGTCGACCGCTGGTCTCGTGCAGCTGGGCTGCAGTGCCGCCCTCAACACCAGGGCCAAGCCCCTCAAATCCGGGGGGAGCAGCGCCCAGGGGCGGCGTAGGAGAGCCGGCTCTGGCTGCCGCACCGGCAGTGGCCGGGGCGATGATGATGCGGTACCTGCGCCGTAGCTCGTCCAGGTTGTCCTGTGTGAAGGGAGGAGGAGCTCCTAGAGGTTGATGGCAGACCTGGCGGCGATCTTGGACCTTGCATTGCCTGCTCAGGGTCACCCCGTCCCCAGCCCGGTGCCTCCAGTGCCAATCAACAACCTCCCACACACACCTCCAGGTGCTTCTCGTAGGGAATGCACATGAGGTCTGCGGCCTGGGCGCCCGCCTGCAGCGCCCACGGCAGGTAGGTCCTGTTCAGCTCGGCTCTCTGCTCGGCGGGCAGGCGCAGCTCCCCCGCCACCACCGCGAGCGCCGTCATGGGCAGGCCGGTCTGCGATGGTTGATGTCGCACAGCATGACAATTTTGCGCGCCACTCCGGGGAGGGTTGGCCGGATGGCAAGTCTCCGAGCATGCTCCGACTCTCTGACATGCGCCCCGTCTGGCGCAGCTGCGACCTCTACGAGCCCTTCCCTCTATCGACACCCCACCCGCACCGCCCCTCACCTGCAGGAACTCCACCGCCTTGAGTGCCACCTCCCCCTGCACGTTGGTGTGGCAGCCAAAGAGGACGTGCCAGAAGTCGTGCACCTCCCGCGCCCGTGTGACGATGTAGGCCAGCTCGGCGTCGGCCACGAAGCGCACGGGCGGCCGCTCGTCGGCCGAGAAGCCGCGCGTGCCCATGAAGGCGGCGTAGGCCCCACCAAAGGTGTCGGGCGGCAGGGCCGCCGCGCGCCGCAACAGCGCATCGGTCACGCGTGGCCTCTCCGCCAGGATGTCGGCGCCGCGGGGGTCCAGGGTCATGCGTCGGCGCAGCGCGGCCAGCGCGGGGCCGGCGCTGGTCTCGCCCACGGCGGCCACCAGGTCGGCGCGCCGGGGGGAGGCCAGCGCGCCAAGCGCGCTGAGCACCGTCAGTGCGCCCTGCTGCAGGCCGGTCAGGGGCACGTGGGTGGGGTAGGCCGCGGCAGGACTGAAGATGAGGGCGGTTGGGGTGGGGTTGTGAGGACTTGATGGAGCCGGCCCAGCTGAGGCCCACGAACATGCGCTGGAGGACCACACAGGGGAGGGGGTCCCAACCCACCGCCGTGCCTCTCACCGAGCGAAGAGCAGGCGTTGGAGGACACTCATTACGCCTTGCTACGTCTCAAGCCGCATCCGATGTCCAGGCACCTCCGTGATGGGCGGTGGAACAGCTCGCTGCCCAGCAGTGCGCCGGAAGAGGAGCCTGGTGTCCGTCCTGCTGTGCGTAAGCTCGAGGTGCGGCACCGAGTAGAGATCGAATGGTGCCGATGGTTCAAAATGAACAAATCAGTCGTCCGACGAGCTCATGCATGGCGAGGATGTGGTGTTGTTTGGGACCACACAGGGAGAGGGTTTCCTGGGGAGAAGTCCGCTCCATGCACAGCATCCCATGGTGGACCTTTCAAACCCGTCCCACCTGCTCACCCTCCCCAACCCCGACCTTCCCCACAACCAGGAAGGAAGGTTACAGCGCGCATGCAGCGATGTATATTATGGCATGGAATTTCAGTATGGAGTATGTGCAAGACCTCAAAACATACATGTGATGCTCGGATCGCTTCAAGCATGCAACGAAGGGATTCCATGCCTTGCGGATGCAGGCCGGCTGTGGCTGGGGAGGGGGGGTTCACCAAGGCGTGTGGGGAGGCTGGGGACGGAAGGGGGGCGGGGTCTGGGTGTGTACGCGGTACTCGATGGAAAAAGCTGTCGTGGGGGCATGCCTGCATGCCATATTCGTACCAAGGCATGGTGCGACCACCAAGCACCGTAAAACGGTTCCTGCTACTGTGCAAACGGGCTCGCGTTCGTCATGCTACCCTGAGGGTGCAGCGACTTCAGCGGCGACCGCGGGCTCGCGCGGCCGGGCGCCGGCGCCCCGACGCCCCCCGCCTCCTCCCCCGCCTCGGCGTCCAGGGACCGCCCCTCGCCCACGCCCTCAAAGGAGCTGCGGAGGGAGGCGTCCCCCCTGGACCCGCGCACGCCCCCGGCGGCGCTGGACAGGAGCGAAAAGGAGGGGCGCGTGCTGCTGGTGGTGGGGCGCGCACCCTCCTCGTAGCTGCCGCGCTGCATGGTGGACCCGGTGCGCATGCCGGAGTCGCGGCCCTCGCCCTGCGCCTGCAGGTGCATGCCGGCGGCGCTCAGCGAGTGGCTCAGCTTGGAGTAGCCGGAGGGCGCAAACTCCTGCTCCAGCTCCTGTGGGAGGGGGGTGCGAGCGGGCCGGGAGTGATGAGAGCAGAGGGAAGGGAGGGGGGTCCGACTCGGCCTCACCGGGCCGCGAGCTTCTCAAGGCCGTCCCCCATTCCACCCTCCAACCCACACTCCACCCTCCAACCCCCAACCCCCACCCACCCACCTGCAGGATGGCGTCGAAGCTGGGGCGTGCGCCCGGCAGCTGGCTGAGGCAGCTCTCGCAGACCCGGGCCAGGAAGGGGTCGCCCGTGGCGGGCGGGGGCAGAGTCTTGCCCTGGAACCCCACCGCGCCCACCACCTGGACGGGGAGCAGCCCCTCCCAGGGCTGCTGCCCCGTCAGCATCTCCCACAGCACCACGCCGTAGCTGTACACGTCGGCGCCCTCCGCGTAGGGCTCGGAGCGCAGGACCTCGGGCGCCATCCACTCGGGCGTGCCCGAGGGCGCGCCCGGGGTCACATGCGCGTGTACCTTGAGGCGGGCCAGGCCGAAGTCGGCAATCTTCACGCGCCACTTGTCGTCCAGCAGGATGTTGGGCGACTTGAGGTCCAGGTGCAGCAGCGGCTGGGGGCGGGAGTGCAGGCTGGCCATGCCGCGCGCCACCTGCACCGCCACGGTGCGCACCAGGCGCAGGGGGAGCGGGCCCTCGGCGCTGGCCCGCATCACCTTGAACAGGCTGCCCCGTGCCATGTACCTGTGTCAGTGTATGTTTTTTTGTTTAGGGGGGGGATGAGGATGGGGGCTGGGGGAATGG